AGGAAATCTGATGCTAGTAATGATGCACCTTAGAGGCAGGGCATTGGAGCGGGGGAAGGGAGAGAATAGAGGGAAAGCTCTTGATGTCTCATGAGGAATTCTTCCTGCATATGTTTTTCCCCCGAAAAAGGTACCAGAAAGAACAATCACAAATGTACAGTCTCCTTGCCTGCACCAGACTACTGTTAAACCAAGTAGCATAAGCAGTGGTACTCAGCAAAAACCTTAGGCTTCCATTCAATAAATTATGAATCACTCAGCCTTTTGATGAAGATAGCCATCTCGAAGCAAATCAATACCCCATTGCTGTAGAAAACTAACAGTGAGGCTAGGAAGTAACCCAAGTGATAGGAAATTATATAGCATCACCCAGCCAGGGGGTGGAATCTAGCCCGCTTCAGGGGGATATAGGGCAAAGGAAAGGAGCAACGTGGCAGAGACCTGTGTATGATATTCAGTGATATTAGACTGGGGTTATCTCAACTATAGGTCCAAATGGGATGCATTTGCACAAGAGAGTTTTTCCTGGGTACAGTGGGAAATCTGTACAAGGGAATGATTGAGTTTATACAGCACTTACCACACAAGGATCCTGGTCCAAGTCTAGAGCTTCTAGGAGCTTTGGTAATACACATAAGTAAATCTACTGTATATTTTAGGGCATTTGTGTGTTGGTCCATCTGTCTGTAAGTCTGTTTGTTCAAGAACACCTTCGAAACGGTCAGAGCTAGGACCACCAAATTTGGTATGTAGCTTCCTCTTATCATAACTTAAAGTAAGGTCAGTATTTGGTTGTGCCAGGACAATGGGATGTGCCTGGAATGGGATTGTTCACATCAAATGGAAAGGGAAGGGTGTGAGATGAATGAATGACCACGGGGACCAGCAAGCGCCCCAGAGAACTGCTCTGGGATACCATCACATGACTCCAGATGGCCCCATGGAGAAGCCAACAGACGGCCTCCATGCCCTCCCCATCCAGGCCAGCCCCAGGGAAAAGCTAGCCGGGCAATGCTGATTAAATCTTCTGGTACACAATAATAATGAGTCTACAGAATGCCACTATGCACCTGTTGAGCCAACTATGTGAGGGATCTGGGATGAGTCTGGGCTAAGAGAAGAAGCTTCTGTCCCTAGATGTGATGCTCCTCCCTAATCAGTCATCTGTCCTTGCCAGAACATTGGCTACTTGACTCCTCACCCTTTCCTGCCTGCCTCTGTTCTTCTCTTTACAAATAGTCCTTAACTATTAGCTGGAGCAACATCTCCAGAGAACTAGGGCAACTGATGAGCCACTTGACCCAGAACTCAGCAAGTAGAGTAGTAACTACAATGGAATCTGTCCAACACATTTTTCCCCACCTGAATGTACTAACTGTAAGCCTGAGTGTAGTTCATAAAGGACTATACAGATCAACACTGAATTTGGAGAGGACTTTGCTTATATTGTCTGGTCTCTGGTAACACCGGGTACATACTATGGAGGCTGACCAGCTTTCTCCATTCATTTCAAAGCAAAGTCTTACTAGAGAGTGATACGTTCACAGAACCTTATTTTCACAGTTGAGATACCACAGTGATGGGCAAATCTAACTATTTCAACAACCAGAATAAAAGCACATTCTAAAGAGATTTTGGTTACAGTAAAAATGATTCTGGAACAGAGTGTGTATTTGCTTGCATGTGCAGCACCTCCAAAATGTAAAATGCACCTCCTCCCCCCTCCCCAGCACAACAAGGGAGAGTGGAAGATATGTCCTGAAAGTCATGAAAAGCGACATTATATGAAATCATTAAATTATATAGCCCAGTTTCCCAGCTACTGTAATTCAAGAGAGCACCACCCATTTAAATAGAGCTATCTGGATTTACACCAGCAGAGGATCTGGCCCTATGGAAGGTATACGTTAGTTTATTTCATCCTGTTCTTATAAAAAAGACAAAACTTACTCCAATATTTTAGGTATGTCTCTTTCTTTACGAAGATGATCTGCATATTAGAGGGACACGAGATATGGCAGTTGCTATAGTTACTATATTTTGTTATTAATCAGAGTAAATAACTGTATACGGCCCACACATACTCTCTTGTTGGAACATATATTGGAAATGCTCGGGGCTCAAATATTTTACACACCCTCCTGTTTATTTCTTTTAAATGGAATATTCAAAAAGTATGTGTCTCAGGAGGGGTTGTCAATCTTTGAACGGACTCTTCTCCATTCTAGCGCTGTAGCCATGAGAAAAATATAACAGAGAACTTGGTATGTCACACACACCAGATAGTCCAGCCTGATTTGGAGCCAGTCCAAAGCTCACTGAAGTCACTGGAAAGATGCTCATTCACCTCAGCAGGCTTTGGATCAGGTCCTTACAAAGGCCATCCAGACTAGTGCAGCCAATGCACAGAATAATTTGTATACCTTTCTTGACATCAAGAACCATATTTTCAAAGGATGGGTTTATGGTGAAGCACATGCAGGACTTGTTCAGAACATGAACTGGATCTTTGTGAAGACACAATGACATCAATGGTGGTGTATATGGTATAAGAACCTTAGCAGCCCAGAATGGGTATGAAAAGGTGACTCGGAGGTGCAGGTACTACCAAAAGAACCAATGAGCTCCTGCAATACCCCTTTATGGCATCCCTGTGGAAACTACTCAGATGACTAAGAGCTACTCATTCAAAGTGAGTAAATGTTGTAGAATTTGGCCTATAGGCAAGGGTGCTGGAACATTGTGTATAGTGGGGCCGAGGGATGCTGAGAACCATAAATTAAACTGTAAACTCTGGATAAAATGGAAACCACTTTAAGCCAGGGGTGCTGCAGCATCGCTTGTACCTGTATTTCCAGCCCCTATGCCTTTGGGGTTTAAAATTATCTCCAAAGTAAATTTGCACCTAGGAGTGCTCCAACGTTAGCTTATTCATACCCTATACAAAAGAAAAAGTGAGTAGCTCAGACACACGGGTGAGGCAAAAGAAAATTACAACAGAAAAACTGAACCCAAGGAAGAATTTGCATTAGACTTACCGCAGTCACCCTCCAGACATTCGAGAGTCCAGTGGAGAAGACATGGAAGAGGTCAGCTGAAACAACAAGCAATACCTAGATGCTTCTGCCAAAAACAATTCACTTTGCAGCTTCAATTACACTCCCTGTGTAAACACCCAGTATGATCAGCTCCATTTCTTTGATAAAGAAGATAAAGGGGAAGAGGAAAACAGAGGAGAAGCAAAAACATATGACAAATGCACACTTGCATTCACCAGTTCTGT